AAAAAATCCCACGACTGAATGAGCAGTATACTATTCTTCTTTTCTGAAGCGACCACTTGTCGACTGTTGCAAGGCATCGACAGAAACTCGGAGAGATCTCATTACCTTCAGGTTATTTGCCTTCACCTCACCCAGATCCTTCCAGCCTACTCGCAAAGATCACGCGATGTTTGACTCGATCACATCCCCCTTTGATGGCATGATGTACACAAAAATATCTATAAGAAGCTGGAACACATCTCTCTTTCGTATTCTTCCATGACCGTTTCGCTTTGTCGGTGAATGACAATTGAGACGCCTGTACCTGCTTTTTCTCCTTGATGGAACACCCTGAGGCACTCCCGTTTCCTAGAGCAGAAAAAGTTGGCCCGTATTTGGCCCACAAACAATGATGGGAAGTTTTCTCGTGAAAAGAGCGCAGACGTCTACGGGAGTACGCTCTACGAATGGCCCGCATGTCCCAGTCCGTAATTTGAAAGACTGTCAGATGCAGCGCCAGAGCGACTTCATGAGCGATGCGGTATCAAGGGCAAGAACTTCGTGGTATTTAGAAGATCTAGTAGCCAAGTCAGCAGAGCTCTAAGCAATTCTGCGGTCAAGTTCAGTGCGTATAAAAGCTTCATATTGAAAACAAAACACTGCGAAGAGGAATCTTCTAGAGCGCTTGTTTGATGTACTGCTGGACGAACTTTCTTGAGTAGCTTGAAGAGAGGTTGCTCTGAAAAATGTGACGGTCACATTTATAAATTTTGCATATGAGTGCCTCGATGTTGAATTCAATTCGTTCCGTTTATTATTTTAAAGTCCCTCTCACGGTATTCTATGTCATGTCATAAAAAACACATACAAATATATTATTCATGTCATACAATACACTTGTTATTGCACCATGGTCTTCGCACGTTGCTGTAATTGTACCTTCAACCTCTGGGGGACAACCACTACACTACAACGGGGGACCCACTGCATGCTGAGTTGATAATGCTAGTCTAGGCGGTTTTATTGCGCGGAACTTAAATACAGGTGCTAGTGTGGTCGCGTCACAACTTAAGTATGGGCATATTTATTTCATTTGGTGGCCATCGTTATACTTTTAATTTCTTACAGTATCGCCTATGGAGTTGAGATACCTTTGCGTGGTGGCTATTCTACACTTGGACATTTCCGAGATGAAAACGGCCACGAGTAGTTTTTATTCAGGAATACATAACACTTTCTTTCATTCTTACCATTCACTCTGCCCTGTACAGCAGAATAGAACAGTCGGCCCAGTTATTGGGCGTTGGGTTTTTCTTGTCATTACACCACATACTTAGTTTTCATTATCTGTCTGTTTTTTCTGAGTGCAACCAATGAAATAGGAGCCTTTGCCCATCTTTTTAATGATTACTTCCCCTCAGCGGAAACCGTGGCCCGCAGTTATTCTATCCTGTCTGATGTAAATACAAGCGGGTTCAGGTATTAACGGTGAATGCCACAGAGTATGTAAAATTGAACAAACTGACGTAGTTGAAAAATCATCTTTGGGATTTCTCAGACCCATATAGCAGTAAAACGTCAAATACATGTACCCGCGTTCCCCGCTTGGTGGCGCTATAAACAGAAAACGTTCGAAAGGAAAGGGAAAACGGGCTGATTGAGGCACAGTAGTTGTCGCCTTTTGTGCTTTACATAGGGCGGCTTGTTCGCCCAGGTTCATTAGATCGCTGGATGGGAAGATTTCCATTTCTATGCCGGTGCCACCACAGCGCTATTTCCGCTGATTGCATCTGTGTGACCAGTGAAGCTTCCCTGTTGGCACGTGAAGATTTTGCGATGAAATAATGAACCACGTGAAGTGGTTCGTCCGGACCAGCCTTCCCGTGACGTCCTTTCGGGTGTATTAGAAACTAGCTTTAACATTCATGGTGTGTGCTTTTGTGTTAAACATTTCGATACTTTGCTCTCCGCGCCCCGCGTTCGATTTCCATACAGATTAGAAGAGATTCCAGTAGGCAGAAGGGTGCATGAAAACTAAAGTCGGAAAGATAGGCGGTAATACCTCCGGACCGCAAGTGAACTCGGGCAATGACGTGAGTACTGGGAAGCAGGGGTGTTAGGTAGGCGCTTTGAAAGATTCTCGCAATATTTTTCTTTTTTTAGTTTCACGTTTGATGCAGTTCAGTATGCACGGATCGCCTCGAGGTCCCAATTACAAGACCACCTGGCTGTTCTCTATTGATAAGGATACGCTGTTTTTTGGTGGCTGGCTCCCTATGACATCAATAGATAAGCTATCGTTAGCCGGTGACAACGCTATTTGTTGACGTGGTAAGCAACGGTACCGGATTGTCGTGCCGGTATCTTATTACTCATAATTATGCATTTTAGTAAGAAGCGATGAGAATCTAGGGCTTTATCGGTTATCGTTTTATTTTCGCTTTAAATATACCACTTATCGATGTCATTTTGTGCAGACTGCAATGTCCATCGACGCACTCGAGAACTTCGCACGGAGGTCTTCATCGACATTGGCCGACTGTAGGAGAACGAGCTCTCTAATAGTAAAGTGGATAGCTGTAGTTCCGCTCCAAATTTTAAAGTGGTTGCGAAAAAAAGAAAATGTTGAACCTAAATACTGCATTTCGTGGCAACTCCTGCCCAGGGCGAAATGTTCTTTTAGGGAATGAAACTAAGCTACGTAGGTGATTTAACGTGTATAAGCCACAATTTACACGCCTATGACCAGTACTTCAGGGCTCGGGCACAGAACGCAGAAGTACAAGGATGTGGTTGAAGCACTGCGAAGACGGTATCGTCCACTTTTACGCAACTTACCTCAGCCGCTAGAAACTTCCCTAGAGGCCACCTTGTCACGCGACATTACAAAGCTACCTATTCAGTTCACTTCTTTGCGATCAGCGTGTGCAGTTTTCTATTCCCAGCAATTCCTGCGCCAGCCTTTCCGCCACCAAGGTGAGATATTGCTTTTCTTTCCTCCACTACGCGGGGTGAGGTGAGCATCTTTTGGGTTTTTTTTTTCGCAACAAAAAATGTGTTGACCATAAGACGCAGCCTGTGTCTGCGTGTGTGTGACAGTGATTGGACAACACTCTAAGCTCCTTCTGTCTGTCGATATTTCTTTTTTTAGGATGGCAGATAAAGTTTCTCGAAGTATGGAAAGAGCAAAAACGGAAGATTCTACCCACTATCGAAGTTCCCACAACCAATGTATTTTGTTGTGAACTGATACGAAGCTGTCAACACGCTGTCAACAGCGGGACGCCTGTCACATTGAAGCCTGTCCTAAGCGGTGACACTTGATTTCGGCGAGAGTTTCTCGAGTGGCCCTTTGGCTGTGATGTATGCAACGGCTTGTGGTCGCACATTTCAGCTTAACCATACTTGTGGAGTTCTTGGGCGGTGATTTTTTTCTGATTGTGGGCCCATCAGCAGCTTTGAATGTCCATTTCATTCAGTGAAACGGCAACAACTGGTACATTGGAGTCATTATGTCGATTACAAGAAAGGCTGCCGAGATGACTACGTGTTCTGAGAATCCCAGTCATTAAAATAAACTTAACTTTGTGATTTCAGAAAGCCAAAGTTGTCACAGTGGTCTTCGCCATCGCGATGTGCTTTCTAATATGGTGAATTACACGTATAGCAGCCCTCCAATACTTCTACCTGGTTTGGGATTTTTGTTTACGTTGAACATAACTATATCTATGTGCAACGTTTTTCTTGACACATATTGGCCTTCCGTTTTAGGTACGCAACGCTCGATTCAGCCCTCTGCACTATATACACTGCCGGGTTCAAAAATATTTATGAACTCTATCTTATGACTGAACGCTGAAGCCAAGCACTTGAAGCTTACCATGGCTTCGAATGTGTTTTAGAACTCTAGGATAAACCTATAACGCGTCAACGTCCTTGCAGGCGTCGTACCAAAGCAGAAGCCAAGCACTTGAAGCTTACCATGGCTTCGAATGCGTTTCAGAACCCTACAATAAAACTATAACGCGTCAACGTCCTTGCAGGCGTCGTAACAAAGCAAAATGCAAGATCTTGAAGCTTACCATGTCTTCGAATGTGTCTCAGAACGCTACATTAAAATTATAACGCATCAACTTCCATGCAGGCGTCGTACAGAAGCGGAAGCCAAGCACTTGAAGCTTACCATGGCTTCGAATGCGTTTCAGAATATGAATACTTACTGTGAATACTTACTGGTAAACACGTTCTCTCTTTCCTATAAACGTCCATTGCCATGGTACGCACCTTGTAATATTCGATGTGAAAAATGATGAAATCGGCGATCCTGGTAATTACCAGGTTTTCCTGATTGAAACATATTAATACCAAGTAAACCTATTAATAAATATAGAAACCTATTACTCACCTCGTAAAAGAAACGGCAGGCTCTGGTATATGTACTCCATGATTGCAGACTCGTGCACAACTCCAACTAATGGTCGACATAGTGTTTGCTAAAGTTAACTCGAGGAAGCCCTGGCGCTGCGATTGTTCAGCCACCATGAGAATGATGAATACTACACGGATTTACCAGGTCATCGCGCTTGCGGGCTTCGAACGAACTCTTGGCGTTTTTTCTTGTGTTTTGGTTTTGTTTTGTTAAAGAAAAAACGAACATTTGTGGACTTCGTGAGCCGATTTGAATTGGTGAACCTAAAAAGGTCAAAGTGGCTTTTCTCAACTTCGTCTTGCCGCCAAGGCAATGCCGCAGCGCAGTGCATCACGTGTCGTGACGTCACGCCTGCCACACTTGAGCTGCGACGGCTCAAAGTCTTTAACAAGGATCGAATGACTTTGGGATACAGAGAGTAATAACGCTTTGGCTCTTGAGAAATAACTTCTTTAAATGTCGTTATTGCTAAAATAAAACCTTCTAGTCTTCTAGTCTTTCTATAGGAGCTTCGAAATTTTTGTTGACTGCACTGCTCTAATCACTCTTTAGCAGTCAGGCTACCTGAACAAGTGCTTCTGTGCGCAGTACGTAATCGTCAATAATTTATTTACAACGTAGTTCAGTATTTCGTGCTGCATTTACCCCAATTGGGGTCTACGTTCCCGCCGCTGGTGAATATATCGAGAAGAGGAAAGTGACGCCGGCGTCAGTGCGAACTTTTGGTCGTAGCAGAAGCCCCGGAAGCAGGACTGTTCATCCGCGCCGTACTCATTCACCAGCTGAATGATCGACGCCACCGGTTCCGCCGATGAACACGAAAAGGCCGCACAGAATGGCTAATGCGAGGCCGATCTTCATTCTCGTGCTCAGGGGCCTGCGATAAAGATGAAGTTCGCTATCAGTACGTGAATTCGCTTTAATAAAAAAGCCGTCGTGACCCACGAAACATAGAAGCTGACCGTCGGTGGCATCGACCACGTAACAATAGCATAATACGGTGCATAATGCATAAAATTTGCATGGTCTGTCTCTCGGCTGGGATGCTCGGCTGCTGAGCCGAAGGTTACTAGTGCAATCCGGCTACAGTGGTAGCATTCCAATTGAGGCAAAATGGTATAGGCCCATGTACTGGGCCGTGTCAGTGCTCGCTACTGAACACCAGATGGTCGAGATTTCCGGGGCCCTCCTCTACGGCGTCTCTCATAGTCATATTATGGTTTTGGGACGATGAACCTCTGATTTTATTTACACATTGTCGTGGGATGACGTCACTGGATCACACCAACAGGACGCTACAGATCATTACTATTTGTGGCATCAAAATGACTGCACCTTGTCATCGCTATGACGTTAGAACGTATTGTAGCACGTGACATCGTCAATTGGCCAGAGGTAGGCCCATCATGGAGGGAGTACGAAAAAAAAAATTGGTGAGGCAAACAAAGCTTGCAATGCCTTCTATCTTAGAGGCAATGCAAAAAGACTTTAGCAGTCGAATTGTATCGGCAAAGTGGGGTGTGGAATAAATACCTTTACTCAAAACGTAAAAAATGTTACTTTCCTTTGAAGCATCAAAGACGATCACGTAAGTGACCCAGTGATTTTTTATTCCCCTATTTACATGGTTATTTTTTTTATTTTCCGAAATAATAGCGACTCAATGCGCGTTGTTTCAGTGAGCGCATACTCGCACAACCTGTAGAGGTTTCTGCGAAATAAGCCGTCCAAGTTGCGTATGCCTCAAGTACACCTTTTTTTTCATATTTCGCCCTCTTTCGCAGCGAAATCAATCTGTTCAGGGAAGCCTAACAATAAAACATGTGCGAATGACCAGTTCAAGAAGCGACAAAGTCTCTTTCGCAATTGCTAAGACGAATCTGAGATGAAAGATATCTTTTGCTTATTTTCAGTCGATCGTACCTACTCCACTGCCCCTCCCGCCCTCTTCTTGAAATCCTTCCGCGTAGAACAAGGCTTCTTTTTTCGCCTCCTAGACTCGAAGCTCCCTGCAACTCACGCATTACCTCCGGCTTCGCCAAACTTTTACCAAGATGCGATGTCACGTGACAACGTCCTTACGTGGTAACACGTCATATAACGTGGAAACTGCGTCATAAACTTTTGCGTCACTCGTGCGCCCGCCACCGATGCCGACGATGACGTACCACGTTTGATCAGGCATCATAGCATTGACCTTAAAATAGAAAGAGGTCAAAGTAGAATGTACAGCCTTGGTGACTGACTTCTCTGGCCACTGCTCCGATCCCTGGCACAGCTTGTAGTAGAACACGGGAGGCAGCAGGAACGCCACAGGGCAGAGCGCAAGGGACCCAACGAGTCCCATCAAGGGTCCTTCGTATGGCAAGGCCAGGGCAATTCCACCGGCGCACAAGGCAAGCGGAGCCGATATTCGGGCACGCCTCCAGGCCAAGCCTGCAGGAAGACATGCGCACCATTCTAAGCATTTAAGAATTCACAACCTAGTTTCACCCTCTCCTAAGTGCTTGGTGAATTTCACTGTAGTTGTGTGATATTCCACGCAACATTCCATTATGACAAAGTATGTGATGACCCCAACTGACCATCTTCGCAAATGAGCAAAAGACAAGGCAAAAAAAAAAGCTAGGCAGTTTGACCGGAACAAATGTGTATGCGCTACTCTACCTTAGATAGTGGGGGGAGTAGAGGCTTGAAAGAAGGAACCAGAGATCAGCCCTTCACGCGAACGCTAAAGTTCTAAAGCCGTGCCTTTGAGCTTCGGCATTAAGCTGTGCTATTGACTGTAGCGCACCTACTCGTAACCCCAAGAAGCCAGACTCATTTACCTAAATGCGGCTGCAGCTTCATCAACAGAACGAAAAAAAAACTCTTTCCTTTCCTGTGATTGTATTTTGTTATGTTTATGGTTGATTTCGTGCGTTAAACGAGGTACTCTTTTATAAATACTTGCTTACGCAGAATAACAAGGCTGGTCGCGACGCCACTGTGACGTTACAACCTTAGGCAACGTTCGATGGCACCTAATGACCTCTTCTGGGGGTCATGTAAAGAAGCACATCAAGTTTTATTGCATGCGAATGGCCTAAGTTTTCAGATACTCCCTGACTATGAAAGATAAATCACCCTGAGAGGCTGTAAGTACCAGTTGTAATCGTATTAGGATATATTCAGGCTAGGGCTTGCATAATTTCAAATAATTATTCTTTAAACACGACCTGCTGCCTTATACAAAAGACCAAGACGACAAGAAAGTGACAGCTCTTTCTTCTCCGTCCTCTTTGAACGTAATTTTTTTTTTTGTGCCAGTGTCCATCAAGAGTTCGCTTATGTATTTCAGTCACAGATGTGACGTTACGAAATGTTTACTAATAGAAGACATCGAAAAATAGGGAACGTTTCATCGCCGGCAATCGAACACACGACTCTTTGCTTTACAGTGCGTGATGCTAAATGACTTAGCCACAAAGAGCACGTTCTGAAGCGTACTAACGGTGAGCTCTTTATATTCACCATTTACCTTTGGCAGCGCACATACCTCAGTGACTCTTCAGGGTGTTCTCGTTATCACTAGCAAGATGGCGTGCGTAGGGCACGCTTTGAAGGTCATCGGCTCCCTCGTGACAACGCGCGCGCACGTGATTCCTGCCTATATAAACCACATGTGTTTTGCTCTACTAGCCGTGGTTGCCCGTACGCGCGTCCTTATGGCGTGTTGGAGGTGGTCTATTCGTCTTGTGCTGTATTCGCGAAATTCCCTGGAAGTTAAAAAAAGCACGAAGGTCACTCAGCTTGCCCCAGCGGCCACGTTGGATAAAGGAGTGGGCTGCTCAAACACAAAGAAAAATGAACTGAGCAGCATCACAATGCTTAGTACGTGCTCGTCCTGTCTGTTCATTCAGAGTGGCCTTTATGATTGAGCAGCGCGATGAAAGTTCTAAGCTGCTTGCCATTACTAGCGTGACATTCCTATTTGTAGCTATTGCACTCACTCCTTCGTTCTTGCGGCAATACTGCGACTTTTTTTATGTGCTTGTTGAAACCCCCCTTAGGTGGCGCTCGCAATATGCGGTTTCCAGCTATGTGCTTACAGCTAGAGCTACCAGAATGATTACATCTTGATCATGAGCGTTAGTCGTCGGGATGGAGATGTACCACTGTTGGCGTCTATAAACGGAGGCGCATCAATGTGGATCAGTGGGCTAGATGTCGAACATCAATCGACATTGTTCAAGATCTCATATATTCACAATGAACGTTCTTGTACTTGCGTGGAGACACGTTTTATTTCCATAATATGCCGACTCTTAGGACTGAGGGTACAGCAATGTTGTTTTTCCCTACATTGTTGATATTCCTGAGCCTCCTCCTTCACCCACGAAGTTTTCCGACACCTGCCATAGTGTTTCACTGTCTCTGACATAAAATTTATAGTGCACTAAAGGAAAACTTGCGCTGGTGTATATGGGAGGTTCGAATAATTGGTAGTACATGGATTTGCTTGGGCTGTGTTTTCTCGGCTCCTTGTGGTTTCGTGCAGTCTTCCGCTGCATTGCCAACACACCTGGTTCAGAAAATGTTCCGTGGATCCACATGACCAGCAAGACTAATTTGTGCTCATAAATTAAAATCACCCGAGGAGTTTGCTAAGGCACGTTGCAGGGCTCGTTGGTTGAGGCTCATCATTTATATCGGTATAGCGCACCACGAAAAGGAAACAAAAAGACACACACACACACACACACACATACACGCTGTGTGTGTGTTTTTTTATCATTGCCGTGGTGTGTGTGTGTGTGTGTGTGTGTGTGTGTGTGTGTGTGTGTGTGTGTGTGTGTGTGTGTGTGTGTGTGTGTGTGTGTCTTTTTTTGTGTCCTTGTCGTGGTGCGCTATACCCATATAAATGGTCAACACCCGGGGATGTTCACGATGAGCCACTATTTTTCTTTGAAACCAGGGCAAGAAAAAAAAACAATAAACGAAGCCACAAGTATTTTTGAAGCCTGAAACGCGACTAGGCAAAGTTATGTGGTACCCATTATTCCCATGGTGCCTGAAACATGGCAGTGCCACAATTTCTTCTACTGACTATGAATATTCCAGGACAACTTACGGGCTCAGGGTTATACCCATCTTTTACCTAAATTTGACGTCATCGTGTGGCGTCACACTATTTTACATGACCATGACGGCGCACAAGTGGGCACTGTGGGACACCTGCAGATGATGTCATTATGATGCCGTCTATGATCACGTGACTTTCAGGATCATTTCTGTTTTTCTTTCTTTGATTTTTTATTTCATCATTAAAACAGAATGTGATAGCCGGGGAGCCCGCGGTAAAAGCTATCTTTTGGTAGCCTGACGCCAATGGCGCGATTTTGACGCCAATGGTCAGCTTTCGCGCTTCCTGGAGCACCAAAAGGTTTCGCCTTCACAACAATACGATTCAACAGACTTCTTGCAAAAATCATTGAGATTCAAGAAACCACAGCAAGACACTCACGTTTTCCGTAATCCTCTACGCGGTCGTATTCTCCCAGTATGAGGTCGCTGAGGTTCGTCAACTGATCGAAGCACGTCACAGTGAAGAAGTGGGCAGCGATCCGGACATTTCGTGTGTTGAAGATCAGCACGACGTTTCCGTTGAACGGGTAAAGGACCGCGCAGGCAGTTACGCCAACGATGAATAAAGCCAGCGTGCTCCCTGCAGGAAGTACATCTCGCAGTTTAGAGAAAATGTAGAACGTCGTTGGTCGCTGTAGTCAACTAGTTTCTTCGCAGCAGCAACCACCTTCTTGGGTTGTACGGATCCGAGTACTTTTATTTCTCTCTCTTAACCACGAAGGCCAGGTTGAAAAGAGAGAAACAGCAAAAATTGAGAAAAAAAGGGGGTCTGGAGAAAAGGAAGAACAACAAGTATATAAAGAATGGCTGTCGTGTCCAATGGGCAGAGTAAGAGGGAAACGCATCAACATGCGAAAGAAAACCTGGAAGAGGTAGGGCGAAAGGTGTGGCCTTAAGCTTAAACTTGGTAGCATCCACACCAAAGGCGACCACCACCCCGAATGCAATGGGCAGTGTACGTATGAACTGAATTTTCCCAAATTTAACACAGTTGATAGTGCGTCTATGAATTCACACTTTGCTTTCTTTCTGACCTCAGGCCATGAAGACATCGGACACTCAGTCGAATGGTCTTATATGCATTCACTGAATACAGTTTGGAACTTTCAAAGTGTCCTTCAACTTTTAAAGACGATAATTTTTCTTGGAATACTCCAAAGCAGAAATTTCTGTCTGTCTACCGGTGTGTCTGTCTGTCTTCTTCTGTCACCTGATTCAGTACAACGGCGAAAGTTTAACCCATTCATAGGCGACCAGCCATCTTGATCTGGTTGTTGCGTTAAGTTGTACTGACATTGTGAATGAAAAAATTATTATTACGCATATTTTGGCACAAAATTATTACGGGGCCCTTGGGTAGTGTGTTACTGTATTTATGAAATGCATAGATACGTAATTTCAAAGACCGCAGTGACTAGTTCGTGGCGCTGACAATGCGACGCTATGGCTAAAAATAAACGGCTGTTTACTACTCTTGACTGAAACTACATGGTGCTACCAACTACCGGTGACCTCGCGTTTGAAATAAACTTTGTTTCTTCAAATTACTACTAGATGGCTTCCATAGATCGCGCAGTGCCTATTCGCCAATTTTCTCGCACAGAGCGTCAAATAAACGTTTTATTCTCTTTCTCAAGGAAGATGACTATCGTCTCTTTCGACGACCTTTGCCAGCGAAGTATGCAGATACGCCGCCATTTTTTTACACTCCCATTAGAATGAAAGGCAAACACGCCCTATGTATACGTGTTTTCTTTTTTTGTTATGGACGAATATCCTCAGGGAGTGGATCGCTCTCTCGTAGCTGTATGCTGAAGTAGCCACTTCCATAGAGTTTCCTGAATATACAATGGAAAGAACTTTGGTGCTAGTGTCTATGGAAGCTTCCACGCATGGCGCTTCAGCGAGCATGGGTAATATGAGTACTGCATAGATTTTCAAGTCTTCGTATATTACGTTCTTTCTGTATTTGCGTGGCTTGAAGCTGCTTTGTCACTGAACAACAATCGCCCAATGATAGGTAGTTACGCTTTACCACCTTCAACTTTTAGGATCACCATTTTAAATGCGATCAGCATTTGAAATGCTAGCCACAAGTGTGATTCACCGCCCGCAAGCGCGAACACTAGGCAAATTTGTGTCATACGAAAAATTTTCATGATCTCTGAACGATCGCAGCGCCTGAGTCCCCTCTAGTTCATTTCAGCGAACTCTGTGGCCACTTCTAGTTAGTTTTAAGAATTACTCCCTAAATGTCAGTGTGTGTATATGTCCTTCTAAATAATATCACTAGATGGCACTATTGATTTTCGTATAGTTGACGAATGAAACAAAATTAGTGGAAGAAATTCACAATATATCCAAGGAGTGAATAATGATGAGTGGGGCGAAACATCCGTCTGTCCATCCGCCCGTCGAATGCGTTCTGTAGTGTGTTAGGAGCGAACGGACGGACGGACGGACGGACGGACGGACGGACGGACGGACGGACAGACAGACAGACAGACAGACAAACAGACAGACAGACAGACAGACAGACAGACAGACAGACAGACAGACAGACAGACAGACAGACAGACAGACAGAAGTACGGACGGACGTTCCACCCCACTTATGAGCACTTGCTGTGTGTTGCGAACGTTTTTAATTTTTACCGCGAACCGCAGTGAGACGCCCAACTTATATGCCTCCACTCGCATGCGTTTGTACTCTCGTGCTTTTGGGTCGTGCAGACGCCATTCGCGTTCTAGAGCGTGTAAAGGCTCACTTGTCCTCATGCGTGAAGGGGATGTGCCAGTGTGGCACCTATTGCCGCGAGGATGATGCACTAAACGCTTTCGCCCTAACGTACAATTTACTATCAACAACGCTGTGAGCTACTCTCTGCAGAACTTGTGGCCGTCACGCGCAGTGACTTACCTGCGACTCCGAAGGCAGCAGCCTTGGTGAAAGAAGGCGGTGCCTTCATGTCACGTCGAATGTTTGTGAATTCGCACACGCCGGCGAAATTGAAGGCCAAGATCCCGAGACTGACAAAGTATAGGGCGCTGGTAACGTCCTTGACGCCCTTGGACAGGCCAGAGACGTCGCCGATGAGAGAGCCGAGGTCGAACAGCTTTATGGTAAACATTGCCTCTCCGGTTCCGGTAGCCATCTTATTATTGCCCGCGATACCCGTGAGCAACAGAATCGTCAGCACCACAGCCACCGGGGTGTTTACCACGCCGCACCTGCACCCAAAGTTGTCAACGCACTCATTTCGTTTGTAAAATTATTACAAAGATTAACATATACTTACTTCTATGTTTAGAGACGCTATAGACGGTTTCGAGGTCACAATTGTTGTACCCAAAAAAACTTCCGGTCACCTCATTTACCAGCTCCTAACGTTGAAACTGAATGCACGTGTTGAAGTTCTTTTCAAACGTAAGGAAAGTCTCTCTTTCATTTTTCTACAAAGGAAACGTGCGTGAAGTACAAGGGAATGTTTTATAATTTTTATGTAGCTCAAAAGAATATTTATTTGAATATATTTTGCCAAGTAAGGGTAGGACATGCACTTTAAAAATCAGCGGTCTATTTTCTAAAGCTCTTGTGGACCTTCAATGCTATCAGAGCACATCAGTGGACAAAACCGGAAGTCATCAGGGGGTTGTGTTTTTAAACCTTGAAAGGGTCTATACGCTGCAAAAGAATTCTTTTTTTTTTTGCATGACTGGATGACTTGACGGTGAATGTCATCACGTGTGCGCTATTTTGACAGCGGTATTGTCTCGACGCCATAATAAATTATTAGCAAACACTTATAGGTACACTCAATTTCTGAACCTTCAGCAACGCTGTGCTATCCTGCGCTCCTTTCAATTACTTTGGATCATATTCACCAATTTTAGAAATAGATTCAATTGCTTGGTGTCCGTTTCCATTGTTGTCAACCACTTATTCCTTCCCATCAAAGCGTGTCAGTAGACTAACGCGTGTGCGACGCTGGTAACTATGAGGCGTACCTTTAGCATTTCTTTGCTTTGTGAGCTCTTTCTAGCTGTTTCTACTGACACAGATGGCAAATTTCAGTGTTTCATTACGCCACTATCACTTTCGCCCTAACGATGATGGCTGATTTTCGACAGTTTGACTGACAGGCACTACAGCCAGCTATACTTTCTAAGACATTTTGAAACATTGTGGTTACACCAGACCAACACAAAATTTTGTTACAACACAGCAAAACAGGAACGACCTACTTGGAAACCAACAAACTATCAAGCCAAAAAAAAAGGTACATTGAACGTCATTTGTAGTCCTTCCATTGAATTGCAATGTTCTTGACAAGAATTTAAAAAGAATGAGGACGCCCTTTTTGGGTGGCAGGAAGCAAACCTGCAGAACTGGCATTTTAGCCAGTTGTCATATCCACCAGAAATCACATTCTACCTGACTGTACTTGCCAAAAAAAAAAAGAGTGTTGCACAGTCGCCCTTAGAGATACGAGCAACGCTGAGTAACGCTGCCAGGTTAGCGTGCATAGATATACTAGATAAAATAATGGGATAACGCCCTTGTCCATAGCTCAACTGGTAGAGTATCGGGCACATTATTCGAAAGTTGCAGATACGTTGCTTGAGGGCAGAAAGTTTCCCTATCCTCCCCTTCAAGCTCTTCGTATATAAGATAATCGCTACACTACCATTTAAGGCTGCTAATAGCATCCCCTGTACCTTGATTGGCCTCATCGGGTGATTATGTTCAATTAGGTTGGGTCCAACAAAAAAAAATAGCCCTTAAGCTCTCTTCCTCCTAAACAAAATAAGGGGCATGTTTCCGCCTTTGTACTCACCAGTATCGGCAGTAGGTTGCCGTGGTACCACTGGAGAGAACGAACAGCACTCCGCAGCCAACAACGAAGCCGCAGTATAAGTGTCCCCTTGGTACTGGCACTGGTAGGATGAGGGCCACGAAGTCAACCATAGTGGCCGATGCGATCACAATGAGCAAAGCCCAAAGTCCCACGACGCAGAGCAATCGCAGGGCACCCACAACCTTCCTGCACAAAGAGCGATATATAAGGGCGCAGTAATAGGCGATAGTCGGCTTGCTCCTAGAGTAAGCATCATAAGTGCCCAGAACTCTTTCGTTCCTAGATAGAACATCCTGTATGCCAAGGACTTTATTGGTCCTAGGCGAGGCACTCAGGTGTCCAGAATTCTCTTGGTCGTAAACAAAACATTCAGAGTACCTATAGGACTCTTCGTCCTAGGTGAGACATCCGGACTGTCTGGTACTCCCAATACTCTAAGAAATAGATCTGCAGTGCCTAAAATTATCTTGATCTTAGGCAATATATGAGGAGTGCCTGCTTCTTCTCGAACCAAAAGTAAGTAGTAAAGGACATGACAGGCTTTAGTTCATTATGTAAGAGAGATTTGTCGTCAAGTAGAACCTTACGATAGCCCTGGTCCCACGGCTCTGTTCGCGATGTCCGAGTACTGCGTGTACCAGTGGAACCGGCGGTACTCCTCGTGGCGCTCTTCCAGCATTTCGCAGCATGACTCGAGCAGGCCTGCGCTAAAGACTGCGAGAACTCCGAACACCGGAAGCCAAAAGAGGGCGCTCCATCCTGTAAACACATCAATGCACATTCAGTTTGTCTCTTGCTCTTGCAGCGAGCGTTATAAACTTATTGATCGATCTTGCATGAAAGGGACCTGTAACGTTCTGTAGATGGGCCGGAAACGCTAAAGTGCTAAAGCCTGCAGCTGCTGCTGATGAACGAGCTTCCCGAGATGAGCCTCCACTGCCTTAATCTATCTTCGTTCGGGGCCCCCTGCGTCAACTCCACCGAATTACCCGTTGCCTCGCCGATGCATTATCCTACTGGATTGCGTGCGCAGTGCGATCACCTCATAAATGAGCTCGTTCCATGGCTCAAACTCTATGGTTCACAAGCTATAAGACTGTGGTCACTCCACTGGAGCTAAAGGGTGGCTATTCTGCCGACACGACTTTTCGCTACCTGCGTTCTCACGCAACCTCTCAAAGTCTGTGGTGTAATATAATAATAATAATAATAATAATAATAATAATAATAATAATATAATAATAATAATAATAATTTAGTTTTATTACACCTTAATACCAATATTTATATCAATATAACTGTTATTGATAATGCTATTTTTATATAGAAATAATAATATTAATATCTCCTGGAGTTTTAAATCCTGAAACCACTGAACGATTCATCGTAAAGTACTATACGATTGTAAAAAACGCCTTAGGGGGGGGCTCCGGAAATTTTGACAATGTGGTGTTCTTTAACATGCACAGAAATTGCACAGTACACGGGCCTATAGCATTTTGCCTCCATCAAAATGCGACATCCATGGCCGGAATCGAACCCGCGACCTACGGGTGAGAGAATCGCTGGTGTAAGACCCGGGTGTACGTGATATGACGTATGTAAAGCGTGAAATAGTAAAAAGATATGGACCATCTCTCCAGAGGGAACCATGATGGGATGCGAAACAGCAGTGGTGCATACGCCGTTGACCCGGCTGAAACTGGCGTCGACGAGGGTGCTGGATGAGTGGTTCAGAGCAAAACTTGGTGTAGCCTTTGCTCGAGTAAATTTTTCTTTCTAAACGCAAAGACAAGGGAGGCGGGGTGGGTTTTCGTCTAAGTTTCATTACAAATAAACGAGCCGAAAGACTGTTTTCGTTCGACATGCGATCGAGCGTTGCTGGTGGCAGATAGAGTGAGGCGAGACAGAAGTGTGTTGCGAGTGGGCCGAGGAGCAACAACACCTAGGTGGGTCGGGAGTAGCCGGCACCTGCTGTGGGTGAGGAAAAGAATGACGTCAACGCGTAGCTGCGATTTGAACTACTTGGCATCGTTCCAACTGCGTTGAGGGGAACGCGGTGCGGCGCATTGGCACGGAGACACGGACGGAGAGCGTTACACAGGCTTGTGTAAGAGCTGCTTGGCATCTGAAAATTGTTCTTTATGGTCAGTTCCATCATAAAAAGAAATGATAGTTTCACCAACAGTTAGTGCTTATATACCCACAGAGAACATTTATAGACAGTGCATCCAATAAAAAGTTCTAATTCACGTGACGTCATGCACGCCTAGCGTATTTCACGTTAGTGACTTTCCATACTTTGTCATGTTCATCTCGCTAGTTATCAGTTGCAAACTTGAACTTCTGGACAAATTGCAGCAAAGATCTGACTTCATGGCGACCACAAGTAACATTTATTTTGTATCATGTGTGGTGTTGAAAATAACAGCGAAAAAGCACTTGGGGTCGCGATGGAAAGCACTACGATCGACTATCTTGCGTAGGTTATTGACAGGTTCACCACGCTATATAAGGGCTGAAATTATGTTAATGAAACTGCCACGTTGGAGCGCAAACATGGTGGGACGCGAACATTGCGATATCACGTCGAAGTCGTGTGTGCATCGCATTCTATTTCTGTTTCATGCACATCTGGTCAATAACGCTTCAGTGACGTCGTGATCACAATTTGCCAAGTTAGGCACTGCGTGATTACACTGTCTACACGTCATCTAAACCACCATGTTGGATCTAGATATAGATATGTTAGATGACGTCACGTTAAATCTATATCTAAAAAATAATCCCAGACTGTAACTTGCTATGGAATAAACACAAATAGGCTTAAACCAAAACGCCTTACCTATCCATACGAAGGCGAACGGGACCATCACCATTCCAGCACCAGTCAGATTGCCTGCCAGAGACGCTGCCGTCACAGCTAAGCCTAGCGAAGCCGATACCGCTGGAAGCACGGGGTCTGTCTTCTTCCATTGCTGCCTGTACCACAGCTTAGTCTGCGTCCACCAGTCGCCTTCTTGACTAGGGGGCACCGTCGTCAATTCAGGAGTTACCGGAGTGTTGAGGATGGTCGGAGGCGCGTCTCCGTAGTCCGGTGGTGGTGCGTACGCACGGCCATTCACTACGTGGACGTTGTGGGCAACATTTATATTTCCATAGGCACTCTTGTGTGTGTGGCTGCATTGAAAACTTCGCTACTGACCAGAGGGCAAAGAAACACGTACAAACAACACATTCATTCAGGCACCACAGTGCACTCTCTGCTATAACAATGAGGGTCATCAAAGGATGTTCAAAGAGCAATCATTGAGGGGTCATTGTCAAGAATCATTGGTAGACACCCTCTTCAACCGCGTCTTGATATTCCAATTTGGAGAAGGAAACTCGACTAGATAGAGAAAAAAATTCTGCATATCCCACGTACTTCAGAATCGATGTTATGCGAAGCATGCGGAGCGAAGGTGACCGTGTTGCAATTTTTTTTATTTAGTGACACGTCTTTAAATGACGCTGAATATATTTACAAATGTTGCACGCATAGACATAAGTTGAATAGTTGCAGATATAGCCAGTTGTTTGCACTTACTCAACGATTCTAACTTGAACATGCGTATTAAAAACACCATAAGCTGATATGAAGCGCTGATGCTCGCGAGAATGCTGGCCTTGAACACTGCTACATGAATCAACTTCAACGCATGGCAACTAACCATAATTTACGCTTACCAGACGTGACGGCTGTATCAAAAAAGTAAATTTTTAATGTTTATATAATTGGGTAGGCAGCACTGCAACCGCTATTGACGTTTCACGAAGACCATAGCGTCTATTTGAAAAGTTGTTTCGAGACCTGGCCTAGCTCTGTGGTAAAATATTTCATTGCAACGCAGAATGCTTAGGATCGATTCCAGCTGGGACCCTGACATTTATTCTTTGCATTCGCTCGACGCTACCGATGTAGGCTATCGCTTAACGTTCGCACATTCAAGTTTGCCCATGTGTGTTCTCATCGTTCCTGGGTAGATACTAAGTGTCAATCACCTGGAGCACATATCGCATACCAGCGGCACATGCCCGCCAAAGTGTATGTGCCACTGTATGGCGGGAAGTGTTTGATGACGTACGCAACGGGATTGTGACATTACACATATCTTGACCAGCGTGTCATATTCGTCAAACCATCTTGCCCTCCCACGCTGATTTTGCTTCACGTCCAGTTCAAGGGGTGACCACGAGAGCACTTAAACGTAAGTGGCTAGATAGATAGATAGATAGATAGATAGATAGATAGATAGATAGATAGATAGATAGATAGATAGATAGATAGATAGATAGATAGATAGATAGATAGATAGATAGATAGATAGATAGATAGATAGATAGATAGATAGATAGATAGATAGATAGATAGATAGATAGATAGATAGATAGATAGATAGATAGATAGATAGATAGATAGATAGATAGATAGATAGATAGATAGATAGATAGATAGATAGATAGATAGATAGATAGATAGATAGATAGATAGATAGATAGATAGATAGATAGATAGATAGATAGATATGCTCAATGTCGCCGAAGTTCGCTAGGAAATGCTTCGCACTTAAAAGAACACATATATGTACTGTTATTGCTGAGACTACGTATTTAGAAATACAATATTTGCACCAAATGGTAAAACCAAGCTTTAGGAAAGGGAGCAGAATTTTTCAGCTAATTCATTTCTTAGGCAGTGGTCAAGAAACATTGCAGAACAAAAACAGCCGATAGGCTGAGGCTATAAAGGCACTAGTTACTTAGTATCCTTTCAGCGCCTACGTAACAACCCACCGGCATTTCTGTACTAGCTACCTTTCGGCAAGCTGGGCGTGTGAAAACATTTTGTCTTCATCATTAAAATGCGGCTTTATCGCGACAGACAAGTCCGTGCTATACTTTAGGAGTGTCTTATACGAGAACAGTAAAGATAGCACAGCGGAGTGTGTGATTTCTGTACCTTATCACAGAACGTGAAGTTTTTCCTACTACAGTACGTGTTGTATCAGAGAGCGCGTGACCCTTCATCACGTATCTTGGTGTTTTCTGATGTCAAGTTCACGAATGATAACCCCGTTCGCCGGTAGACAAGAACGTGGCTACCATGTATGCCGAGATAACGTATTGCAAGAAAAGTCGTGGACGTGGCTTCGGTCTTCGCGCTTGCGAACTGCTTCACGATGCAGTCATTATCTACATGCACATGCGGTATCTTGCTGGAACAAAATAGTGTGCATGTATGCCAGACGTGGCAGTTATGCCTCTGACCGGCCACGTGAGTTTTTTGTAACGTTAAAGTAGAACTCAAGCGTATCATGGCTGGTAAATGAGACGGGTACAATATAATTTTGAAGAGTAAGGTTATGTCGTATGTTGCACAATAGAGATGTGTACAATTTATCTAGCTTTGTATATGCTGCTTCATAAAATGTTTTTAATATAACACAGGTTCTCTCGGTAGGGAAGCACAGACGTCGGGCTACTGTGCCAGTGTTACATACTCTGAAAGCTTTCCAAGCGCGCCTTTTATATCTCGCATTTTTCTTTCAAAGTGGTAGTGGTCGGCGGGGTGCTGTCGCCCTCTCTAAGTGATAAAATCAGCTAATTCATCAAGACCATGGCCTCTGCGATTAGCTCCTGCAAACTTTCATTGCTACGATTCTGACCAATTCAGCGTGTTTCCAATAAGAAAAGTGCGGTTCTGTCAATGCCTTTACACACCAAAAAGGGTGGTCTTAGCTCAAGCGTCTATATTAAAGCGTCCGTCTCACTCATAGCATCTATCTACACCAAACATAGCCTGCCTTGCCTCCGTAGTTGTAACATCGCGTTGCCCACTTACGCTCACCGCGTGAAAAATTATGACCATGGCGCATGTTGCGTTTACCTCATCTCTAGTGTGCTCGTAGTGTTTAATAACTTTTTAAGACGCCACAGAATTTCGACCTTAGTTGAAGCTCCGCGTTCAATCATAAATGCTCTTCTGGCTGTTACACAACATGTTCTGATTACGCTCTTGCCCTGAACTACTACACCCGCCACAAGAGTTTGTCTAACACACTTTTGTTTTCTTTCGTGTTATATCAAATCCAATCAACCATGCTTATTCTTTGTTTCTTCTTTCGTTGTTTCGCTGTTGCATGGCCACGTCACTGAGACACTGCTAATTTTGTCCTCTATATCATTTTCTCACACTCAATGGCATAAGGTACACAACTGCCGACGTGTGCTCCGTAAGTAGTCTTATGCTTAGTCAAACATATCGTCTTTTTTGTACTCATCATGGCGCACAGGCCGAAAGTATAGAAGGCGGTGACATAGCAACACAGACCCCATGATGGGATGCTGTCTTTCTGAGATTGTGTGATACAGCATAAATATTGCTACGCTGAATCGTCGCTGAATCGAGCACTATGCCCGACACCAACCCTTGTGTCTTTTCCCTTTTGCAAATGACATGCATCGGAGATGAGCAGTGACGTGATGCATCCTTGCTTGTGATAGTCGAGAGCCTTGAATCAGTCCAATTGCTCATTCTATCAGTCCAATTGCTCAATCGTGCTCCGCGATGGCGTATTATACCGCCAAAATTTTGACCCGGATGGACCGACCCTGCTGCCTGTCATTCCGAAACACCTTCTCTCGGAAGTTCTACACGAACTCCATGTCACCTTGGTGTGTCACGCACTTACGCCGACGCTTCTTTTGGCCAGGGCTGGCACGCTCAGTCAGGAGATACGTTGCGCACTTGAAGCCCTCCCAGTGACGTTGACATTTACACCCGTATTTTAGAACGCCCCTTCACTCAACGCTCCACATTCACTTGAAAAAAGCCGATGAGAGTGCCATGTCTAGGCAGGGCAAGTCACTGCATATCAGTGATAATTTACTGCCATTCTTGAGTAGCGCAGTGTCATTTTCAGCCGAGGAGCGGCGCGGTGCGCAACTCTGTCAAGTGAAGGGTGAAACTCGAGTCGAGGAATGTTTGTGAATGATGGGGTTAGATGCGCCCAGACGGCGCTTCTGTCGCCGGGGATTATGCTACGTGCACGCATATTGATATTTTGGAGGGCGATGGCCGTGTGCTGCCTTAGGAAGAAGACGAAGGGTTGTCTCCGCTCGATCGCTGGTCAACCGGTCACGCTGCTTTTAAATACATCTCATCCACAGCCTCGTCAATACGGCGTCTCGTCTTTTCTGTGACAATATAAAGCCCTAACCACATGCACTTGATTTCCTCGTGGCAGCGACGAGCGACGAAATTTGCTGTCGCGGAGGTTCATCCGTCACCGCCGCTTGTCGCGTCGCACGTTTCTGGGAAACTGGAAAAAATGGTTTGTCGCCCGGAAGCCACCGTGACCGTTTCCGGCAATATGGCTGCGCCCACGGTGGTCACTTCGTCTGCAACTCGGTCTCGATGCTTGTTATCCGCTGGTACTTCAAGGAATGCAAGGTATCGACTACCTTTTTTACAACCTCATCGCACGCAGGGAGCGAAAGAGAGGCCGTATTTTCTCGGAAACATCGTGTTTTGATGCCTCATTTTGCCTCATCGTGTTTTGATGTCTCAGTTTTGTTTTGATGCCTCGACGGTACGACGGTAGCTTGTAACAATTTGGTCGCTTGCTGCAATGCGAAATCGTCATGCGAAGTACGTCGTAGCCGTCGTAGCGTAAACACGCTTTTATAGGCAGCCTGTCGTGGTTAAACCAAAGATTGCGAAAAAGTAAGGTATTGAAATGCTTTTGTGGCTTCCTTACGCCACACGAGACCACAATAAATTTGGCATGTTGTCATCGACCAACTTCTATTCGCAATTTATGACTTCTATTTGCAATTTATGAGTATGCACGCGTTAGTTTTCATTCAAGCAACAATGACATTTTGTCGCCAACATGTAGTTGCAGTCGTCGCGACGTGACGGAGCAAGTTTGTCACTGACGCTGGGAATTCGCGTGCATGCGGTTAAGGCTTACGGCACCACTCTCACCGGCATAGTTTTTTTCTGTTATTTCTTTTTTCCTCTGTGCATCGTCTTTGTGCGTGTTCTGTGCTTCAAGGTGGTTTCACAAACACTTGAAATCTAATCTGAGTATTCAAGCTTTCTTATCTGGCTGAACTGTGCTGCGTCCATGACTTTCACTTGATGACGCGCAGTTTCTGAAGAGCAGTTTTAAGCACGTGGTTGCAATGCTTCTTTTTATAACTTTTGAAGCAGCGCTTTGAAGACCGTACAGACAGTATTACCTACAGGCTTTCATCACTCATAGAATTTAACCTAACTTCGATAGTTCTCGTCTATGGCCAGAAGTTTTACGCTCAGTGAGCAGAGATTTGCATTCGGTTCCGAAATAGATCCGGTACTAAGTTATATTTTCCTGCTTCATATTGAGAAACGGGTTTTCAGTCCGTTTTGTGATAGTCCCGTAGTCAATGTATAAAATTACATTAGTGATTTGGTAGTCTTGACAAGTTCAAGCATTCACACAATTAATGCATTTATAGGTGATGTCTAATCCGTTCTTTCTCAAGCAAAATCAGCCCTTCTGATTTCTCAACAACCACGAGGGCTGGAATTCACACCCGAGCCGCCGCAGGAAAGTGCGTTGCGTTTTATAGAACTAAAAGTGTTGAGCACTCCCTAAGCGCACAATTTTTCTGCGTGAGATACCCGTGGCAAGGAAGGCCTACTACATTGGGAAAATGATCATTTGCAAGTTATAAAACGAGCATTCTAATATGGTACATAACAAGTGCTGTTCCGAACTCCTACGTTCATCAAGTGACAGCCAGCGTCGAAGCGCAGCTAAACCGTTTAAGGGAAGCTGTATACCCTTCAATTATGATTTTAAGTGTTTGTGAGACTGCCTTGAAACTAACGACATGCGCAAAGACGATGCCCAGAGAAAAAAAAAAGGAACGAATAAATGATAGCGGTGCCAGTCTTTCCTTACAGTCATGCTATATATCACATTCGCAAACAGCTAGCACACCGTCATGATTTCCATACTGCAATGACTGCGCCGTGCAAACAACTCTCTGTGGTGTGCACCACGAGGAGCAGAAAGGTGAAGATGTGTTCCACAAAGTATGCAACTGTATTTACTGAGCGTGGGTCAGCCGTTGTGTACCTCATTGTTGTGTACCTAATTCTATTGAGTTACAAAAAAAGTTATATATAGGCCAAACCAGGCAGTGCTTCCATGATGGGGCCAGAAAATACCCTCTGAATGTAAACATTGATATGGTGGCCTTGTGGATACTAAGTGCAGGGTGTGTAGATGCTACCCCAAGTTCACTTAAGGTAATTTCACAAGCAGAAAAAGAAAAGATGAAGAGAAGGAATTTGGGCCTATAACATAAGTCAAAGGGGCAACGTCTGCGTCAGCAAGGCTTCACTATCCGTTCAAGAGGAAGAAGTCAGTTTTCTTAGCAACACGTCGTGAAGTTCTTTGTTAGGATAAAAATGTGATATGCGAGCACATCATCACTTGGTTTGCCTTTGCTATCAATCATCTTTCCATTGTGGAACAATATTTGTTATAGAAGATGACACCTGTTCTATTTCTCGTGTTATGTGTCGTCGTTCAATTCGCACCCGAACAATTTTAAGTTATAATCCAGCACTAACTAGCTCAAACCAAGGTTCTGCGAGAATAAACAGTTTTTTGGCGCACTTAGTAAGAGTGTACATGAAAGGCAAGAACATCTCCCACTCCTCATGTCCCACTCCTCTCTGTAATGCCCAGTGCCTTGAGAGTAAATAAATGAAATGAAATGAAATGAAATGCACTTGCTGAAACATTGACGCCACGGACACCCATAGTTCAGCAACATTCATTTTTGAAGCCTCCAATTTCCGCTAATGGTCTACCTTCTGTCGACTTCTTTTGTGTCACTTATTAGCTAGTTTGGCTAGATGTGGTAACAGAAAAATGGATTCGGTAGAGCGGAACAAGGGGAAGCGGCAACACCTGACTTCACCTTTATACAGTCACGTGTGAATTCACTAAGGTAATATTATTATTAATATTAGTAGTAGTAGTAGTAGTTGTTGTAGTAGTAGTAGTATCAGTAGTCGTAGTAGTAGTAGTAGTAGTAGTAGTAGTAGTATTGATAATATTTCTTTTACCTGCCAAAACCACGCTGTTGATCGAGAAACGCTGTAGTGGAGAGTACGCATTCACTCTGACCACCTCAGATTCTTTGTCTTGCACAGCTTAGGCATGGATTGACTTTATTTTCAACCCTATTATCTTGTCGAATTTTCATTTTCCTTTCCTTTATTTATTGTAATTTCATTCTATGTCTTAAGAATTTTTTTTTTCAAACATTCCTATCTAAACTTATTCGGCTCGACAAACAATTTCACTTTTGAAGTAACGTACCATCCATTTCCTCGCCGATCCCCCATGGTGGGTTGCGCCAGAAATTTAAGGGCCAACCAACCAACCAGCACACGGATTTAATTTGCATTTAACTTCCGTGTAACCCACAAGTCTAAAGACACAAACAAAATGTACTTACATGCCGGAGGCGCTTGCTCCATCCGAAGTCTATTCTCCGCTTTCTCGCAGGGATAGCTCATCGTTGCTTCTGTACCAGCGGCACCTTAGGCGAAGTGAGTGAGTACGAATGCATCACCTCTTGTCGTCCCAAAAGTGGCTTTATCGAAACGTTTCGTTATCTCGGAGTGTTCGGTTCTTGAGTTCTGCGAATGCGTGCGATACGAGAATAGGAAGGGGAAAAAAGGCAGATATCGCATGGCCCTGCTCGTGTGCTTTATATGTATTTATCGCACTACGCGAAGAATTTCCTCCTGAAGTGTTTATTGCACAACAGTGAGATGTGGTATATTCAGGTATGTCGGTACTTTCTGATGGCAATGTCCGGGATGATAACACAATATACCAAGAGAGAGAGCGCAGGCACAAAAAGAAATAGAAATAGGCAGTACAGAAGAAGCTTACGAGGGCGCTTTCAGTGTACAAAAGCCAACCGGCTTTTGCAAGCTGAATGTTGTGATTGGATAGGAAATGACAGGTCAGAGGCGACAGTTCCTCGTCAAGCAGAAGACATTGGACCATCCGTGAAACTACGGCACTGACTAACTCATAAAAAGTATTGGGGCATTTCGTGGTTGGTATATATGATAAGTGCGATTGCATTATCATTACACTGACAATTGGTAGCTGTGCCAGGGCTCCAGTTGTAACTATTTTCAGAGTATTGTTTGTCTAAAAAATCTGGTGCCTATTCTAGGCTACTTTCGAAACAAAAACTTCCATTCTCTATCCTTCCAAATTACGTCCGTTACGCGCTGTCACAAACTTCGAATGACGCCCCACCCATCTAAGAGCGGCGTGCGAAAACCCGCAGGCTTCTGCTTTTATTTTAGGAATGTGATGCCTAAAAGGTCTCGAAGTGGTACATTTTAAATTTGTGTACGTTGGTCGACCCACGCTGGCTCGCACGTGCAGTGGTATTAGTGTCTGATCGACAGACTCATCGAGCAGACATGGACATTTGATTGAACACAAACAAGCATTTATTGAAATAAAAACCAGAGCGAGAGATAACAAAAATTAACTGAGCAGACAAAGAGAAAAAAACAAATTCACGGGTTGAAAAAGAAACAACAGCGGATCTGATGATTGATATGGGAGTTTTAACGTCCAAAACCTACAATATGATTATGAGAGACGCTGTAGTGGAGGGCTCCGGAAATTTCAACCACCTGGTGTTCTGTAACGTGCACCCGAATCTGAGCAGACGGGCCTGCAGCGTTTAGACCTTTATAACAGCAGATCTAACCATGGTCTGAAAGAATAATAAAAGTAAAAACATACACAACGGAGATTGGTAATAAAATGAGTGTATATGAAGGAAAAGAAAAGACAGAAAGAAACATTGCCAAAGAAAAATATCGTGCTCTCAAATCTGGACTTCTCGTGTGACGCAGCGCACACTGAAACAATATTTAAAAAGTGACGTTACTAAACTAATAGTTGCAAAACCATAAGTAAACTAAAAAGTTCCATGAGGACAAGGCCCTGCTCTTGGGTCACGTAGGAGAATCGACAGGGTGCCGCTGAAAGCCTCGCCGTCTTGGCAGGTGACCAGGGTGCCCGGTGTTACACACGTCTCAATACGTTGTGCGGAGCACTCCGTACTCTTAGCCTACACGTGACTCGTGGCGCCGACGACAGCCTTCTTTTGTGCAATGTCAACTTCCGATTCCGATGCAGTCACACTTTTTCGAGGCGCAGGCATCCACCCCATTCCTCCTGCGAGTATTTTTTTTTTTCGTCGAACACATGCCTTTCGGTACTGGTGTAGATAAGACATGGCGGTGCCGTCGCCGAGTGGTTAGTCGCCGGAAGTCGTCTTGCCCAACTCAAAGGCGACCTTCCATGGATGAAGAGGCGCGGGGGCAATAATCGCAGCACTCTGTTAAAATAAACTTTTTCTCCTTCTTCTCCAGTCATTTGAGGCACGCGCCTAATGATTTCGTCTCATCTTAACAAATTATGCCTCGCTTTATTATAACACTTACTTCTCTGCCACTTTCCGCTGCGCTTCCTTGTTTTGTTACTCCGACAACTGACTTTAAAAAAATTCTTCTTATAACTTGTAAACGTTTCCTAGCCTTTAAGCTTCTTTTCCGGCGTTCTGTCTTGTACAGCCTTTTAATGTACAATCATTTAGAGCAAAGACACGTGCGTCGTACTGTTTCCAGCGTGAACAGTTCGTTTCATATTGGCTAGTCTAATGCACACAATATACCCCGAATAGCTCTCGTGCACGGACTTTCCCCTGTATCAGAGTCGCCAGGTTTGGGAGACCCTTTTAGGGTCGGTAGTAGCTGAAAAAACGCCTTGGCCACTTGGCTACTTTTTGCTTTTATTCCTCGTTTTTCGATGTGAAGCAGGTTAGTAATATTTGGCAAAGTCGTAGCCGCTGGCGCGCGATTGTGGCGTGGCAAAACACTGCGGCAAACGATTGTTTCCATGTCACGAAATCGAATGTGGGTTTTCGAATAGGCTACACAAAATAAAAGGCTTTTCGATACATGCATGGAAAAGCTTTTTGCGTGGGGTTCGCTTCGCAAACCACCTACTGTTGAAGGTAAATTCAAGTGATTGAATGGTAAGATGACCATCGAAAGCTCGTCGCTTCTTGAGCACCCTTCACTCAATCACATTAGAAAATGAATATTTGGTGAACGTCTAGTGCCCTTTCTTGGGGTTTGGTACGCGATGGTACTTCAGAGCATTAGTTGCTTGAACTTCATTCCGAAAGAAAAGATTCACTTCGAGAGGGGATTCACTAGAGTGTTTTTTACAGGGTTCGCAGCGTTCGCACTGGTTCGTTGTGCATGCTATATTAGAACAATGATGCACGCATTCAAATAGACATGGTGTATCGCGTAATACGGCTTAGGGGGAGACAGAAAACTCGGTGTACAGATTAGATTAGGAAGTTTGTAGGAATAAAGTAGCAGCAGCAAGCACAGAATCAAGTTGACTGGCGAAACACGGGAGAGGCCTTTGTCCTGCAGTAGACATAGTCATGATGATGATGATGAGGAGGAGGATGATCGCGTAATGGGCAGTAGCCCAAAATGCTAACATGGAGCTCTGCAAAACTTTTCCGTTCCAAGAACTTCTTTTCTATATCTTTCTTTCTCTCTTTTGGTGTGTGCTTGTTCTTCTTCTGGTCACAGTTAATTGCATCCCACACCATATAAATTGGCTCTCGTGTTCAGGGAGCAAACAGATGATGAAGGCCAATCATGATGATGATAGTTTTCCCGCAACTCCACATGGCCTGAAGGAAAGTTTATGCGCGTCGATAAAGCTTGTACCCCTTCTATGCACATACCAGGGAACCCTTGGCTCTCCTGGGGCATCAACATATACGTTTGAGCCTCGGGAGGTTCAAATATCCCGATAAGCCCCCCCCCCCCCCCCGCAATCACTTACTGGCAAGTTCAAAATGTAAGAAGGTGCAAGAAAGCATTGAAAAAGTGCTCGTTTCTTGCACCTTTGACACTTGTCCGATGCTGCACACAAGCCTCGCACACTATGACAAGTCAAATCAAACGTATTACGGACTGTTCCAGGTTCACTGAAAATGTTTTTTGAATATTATTGCGCCTAGAAATCAACCTGCATTTCGGATTTGTGCTGACTCGCCAGCACCCACGCTTATTTTTGTTTGCATAGAAATGTACGTACCATTTTAATGAATCTGCAACTCGCATGTCTAGCTTCGCGTGCGCGCGCGCGCGCGCGCGCGTGTGTGTGTGGTGTGTGTGTGTGGTGTGTGTGTGTGTGTGTGTGTGTGTGTGTGTGTGTGTGTGTGTGTGTGTGTGTGTGTGTGTGTGTGTGTGTGTGTGTGTGTGTGTGTGTTTAGACTGGTGTGTGCGCCATGGCTCATTTCGCTTAAACTGGCGTGTGCGACATGGCGTAGTCTCTCCACTTTGTTTTCCTCCAACACGATGAAAGATATTGCATCCTTTTAATAGATTTTGGTAATGGTTGATGCGCAAATGTTTCCATTGGACTATTGCTTAAGTAATGAGCGGAATTACTCACCAGCAAACAGTAGTTACACTAAGAACGCAATTTTTGGCTTCAAAGAAGGTTGACCTCTTTATGCGCCAGTTCTGACCTACGAGTTTTTGACAGAGCGTCCATGTTTTTCTTTATTTCTAACTTTTATCTCGTGTGCAAGCTTGCTTTATTACCTTCGTTCTCCTAAGCGCAACAGCGGCTAAGATTCTCGGCTGCTGACCCAAAGTTCACGGGTTTAATCCCGACCATGGCGATCGCAATTTCATGGAGTCGAAATGGTAGAAGCCCGCCTACTGTGTGACGTCGGTGCACGTTAAACAACACCAGATGATCAAAATTTCCCGAGCACTCCTCTACGGCGTCTTTCGTAATTATGTGATGACTTCGGGACGTAATACCCTAGACATTATTATTGTGCTTCGTTGCCTTTATATGACTGATCAAGAGCGTTATTCGCTGTATAACTTCTCAACTGACTTTCGATATACTGTAATTGGTTCGATTGATATGTGGGATAACGTCCCAAAACCACAATATGATTATAAGAGACGCCGTAGTGGAGGGCTCCGGAAATTTCAACCACCTGGTGTTCTTTAATGTGCACCCAAATCTGAGCACACGAGCCTACAACATTTGCGAAGCGCGCTTCCGACGACGTTACGAAGGACGCTACGAATCTCAGCGCTGCAACCACTGTTTCGAAAGACGGCGACGCCAACACGGTCTCGAAGGCGCCACTGCTTCGAATTCCACCGGGAAGGTCACCAGCCGTTTGATAGCGTAGGTTTCTCAGCTCGCAACTGCTTCTGCGCAGAGCTGATAGACGAGCGGACGAGACGACGGTGAGTTAAACAAGGTTTATGTACAGCATATATACAGAGGCGTTACAAATTCGGCACTGGGGCCGACAAAGACGCGAAGAGCCGAGCTCTTCTCTCTAACACATAGCTCTACTCTCAAATGGGTCTGCCGTCAAAGGGGTCTGCTCTCGACGCGCCGCAGGGCTTCTTTTATATGCACTGGGTCCAACCCAAATGTCCAACCAGAATCGCCGCTGGTCATGAGGTCAGACTCCTCCAATGGGGTCGCCGCTGGGCCGCGTCCT